CATCTTGCTCCCTGTCAGCCTCATTTCTTGATGCTGTGCTTTCTTTGTGCACCTTTTGCCTCCGATTAGGATCTCTGCCAGGCCCTGGAGGCGCTGAGCAGTGCGGTGGCCACCACCTCAGCCAGTGCCCAGAAGGTCGCTAACAGAGGCTCCTCCATTCAGAGGGCAGCGGCCCTGCAGCTGAGGTACGAGGAGACGGGGACTCGGGCCAAGGAGAGGCAGACTGTGCTGGAGAACCTGCTGACCCACTGGCAGAGGTGAGATGCCTTCCTTCCCGAGTTGGCAGCATGGATTTCAACTGCCACTCTAAGTAGGGAATTCTGGACCAGCTGTTGGGAAATAATCATCCCAGATGTAAAACGCATCAACTCATGTGTCTAATATGGGAAGATCTTGTTGGTCTTTGTCAGAAGATGAAGATCCCTAAAGTGGAGAGGATGTATATGTATCTTTCATATTACATAGATATAAACACAGGTGCAAATACAGATATGAACGTGAAAGGAATGTTCTTTTTACCTTCACATCTAGGAAGAAGATAACCAACATTGTACTATTCATAATGGTTAGTGTTGGACCTCCAACTTTGGAAGCATTTCATTTTTTGGCATGATAATTTTAATAAATTTGCCTCTCATCTCTGCTTTCTTTAGGCTAGAGAAAGAATTATCAACCTTTTTAACCTGGTTAGAGCGGTGTGAAGCAATAGCCAGTTCTCCAGAAATGGACATTTCTGCAGACAGAGTCAAAGTGGAGAGTGAACTTCAATCAATACAGGCAAGTTCAAGTTCAAACTTCCTCCTTCTTTGACTTTGAGGGTTTCCCACACTCTTGGTTCTCAACAACTTTCAAGTTTATTGCACACTGACATTCTACATCAATCTCCCAAAAAGTTGCTCCTCAGAAACTCCTCAGAAACAGTGACTGTTTCCTGCCCTGAGGATAAAGAGCCATCCTCAGTCCACACTGAGGAAAAAAGATCTTATCTTTTTATAAATATGCTGTGAAGTGTTCTAAGAGGGGAAGTCACAGCTCCTTTTCTGAAAAATAGCAGAAAGATATCTGGCAATATAAAAGTATTCCTACACATCCCTACACAGAGAGTAAGTGCTATACAGGTTAGGGGACCAGGAGGTGACTGAAGCCTCTGCGACATCCACATCCGGGCACAGTGTCTGCCAAGCTGCCTCCCACTGGGTTCTGAACATTCCTTGTCTATCCCCATATTCCGGCGTTGTGTGTTTTGTCCTGCTTGGCTTAAGTCCCGGTTCTGCCTTGTGGCCCTTCCTGCCATCCATAGGCTGTGTGACCCTTCTTCAGAAACCTTCAGCAACTTTGCTTGTATCACACATGTGGCCTCATTAAGGAGGGGGAGAAAGCATCCTGACAAGCATCTACTATGCGCCATGCTACACTATCATCCCATTTAATACCATGTTATGTTGTTAGCTGTGTATATGTGTTTACCTCTTATCTCTTATTAGATAGGAACCACAACTTTTATGCATCACTCACAGCACCTTACAGTTCATTGCCTGATTAAAAATAAGTCATTCTGTTGCATGAAAACAAAATGAAGAGCCCTTAAGTCCCCCAGTTTGGCCTAATATAGTCTCTAAATGAAGAAGGAGACCACATTTCTGGTACCCAGAATTGCATCTCTATTATTGTTAGATATGCATTGTTTCTCTTTAGCAATAGCTTTTCTTTGGTTCTCTTTACCTACACAGTTTTTTCATCTTGAAAGAAATTCTACAGCTTCTAAAGTTGCCTAACTTAATAGAACTCAGATTCTGGAAAACTAATTCAGGTTTCAGTAGTATTTTAAATGTTTCATTAAAGGTTAAGCAGATCCATTCTAAATCAATAATAAAATCAGTAATAAAAACTCTCCTTAAGCCTGGTCCCAATGAAATCTGTGTTGCAAGAATACAAAACCTTTGGACAGCAACCACCTGTGTCACATGGTCCTTCCGAGTCAATCATGCTGAGATAAGATCTAGAATGTATTCTGTTTTTCTTAGGCACTGCAAAATGAAGTTGTATCCCAGGCCTCAATCTATAGCAACCTTTTGCAAATGAAGGAATCACTATTCTCAGTGGCCTCCAATGATGATGTGAAAATGATGAAAGTACATTTGGAGCAGTTGGATGAGAGATGGAGAGATTTGCCACAGATAATTAGCAAAAGGTTGGTTTCTAAAAAAATTTTTATATAGTTCATTTTTTAAAATGTTGAGCATATAAATTAAGAAAGCAGAGTTTTATTTGCTTTTACTTAATTGAGCTATTTAGATAAGTATAGAAGGGAAAGAAATTACTTTGTCATTTAAAAAATAGAAGTGCTCCAGCAAAGGAAACAATCAACAAAACTAAAAGACAACCCACTGAATGGGAGAAGATATTTGCAAATGGCATATCAAATAAAGGGTTAGTATTCAATAAAAAAGGGGTTAATATTCAAAATATATAACGAACTTATACACCCCATCACCCAAAAAACAAGTAATCCAATTTAAAAATGGGCAGACATTTCTCCAAAGAACACATGTGGATGGCCAGCAGACACATGAAAAGATGCTCAACATCACTCATCATCAGGGAAATGCAAATCAAAACCACAATGAGATATCATCTCACACCTGTCAGAATGGCTAAAATCAACAACAGAGGAAACAACAGGTGTTGGCCTGGATGTGGAGAAAGGGGAACCAACCCTCTTACACTATTGGTGGGAATGCAAATTGGTGCAGCCAATGCTGATAACAATATGCAGTTTCCTCAAAAAATTAAAAATAGAATTATTATATGATCTAGTAATTCCACTACTGAGTATTTACCCAAAGAATGCGAAAACACTAATTTGAAAAGATATATGCACCCCTGTGTTTATTTCAGCATTATTTACAATAGCCAAATTATGGGAGCAGCCCAAATGTCCATCAATAGATGAACAGATAAAGAAGTGGTAAATATATATATATATATTTTCCCCCACTGTGTGTGTACACACACACACACACACACACACACACACACACACACACACAGTGGAATATTACTCAGCTATAAAAAAGAATGAAATCTGCCATTTGCAACAATATAAGTGAATCTAGAGAGTATATTGCTGAGCAAAATAAGTCAGAGAAAGACAAATACCATATGATTTCACTCATATGTGGAATTTAAGAAATGAAACAAATGAACAAAGAAAAAAAGAGACAAACCAAAAAATCGATTCTTAACTATAGAGAACAAACAGATGGTTACCAGAGGGCAGGTGGGTGGGGGGAGGGGTGAAAT